ACCCCACACATGACCCCCACGTCACGCACGACCCTCCACGTCGCGCGTTCAACGCAGGTCGTGGGGAAGCGCAACGGACGAGAAGTTACTACGGTAAAATCCGCCCCACCTGCCCGCACACCGTTCTGGGCCTAGCCCAACAACGTGTCGCGCTTATGTGTGGCCCAGGCCCGGGGGCTCCTGTCAGTGTACAAAAGTAGGGGCTCTCCTTTTGACCCCTTTACCTGTGCACGAGCAGTCAGAGCCACGCGCCGCGGCCACACTTATCAGGGCAGAGGAGGGAAGCCGGAGAGAAGCTGAAGCACAAGACAACCAAGGCGACGCCAAGACCAGAAGCGCAGGAGGGCAAGAGGGTGAGGTGGACTCCCTCGGCAAGATCCTTGCCGAGGTGGCCCCCCGCATCCCCGACAAGAGCCTTGCCAGGGCAACTTGCCCAACACCAGCAGAGCGAGCCACCCTTGAGCCCACAGGCTCCAACCCAATCAACTACATTGGAGCCAAGGCTCGGGAGACGCCTCTGTGGTGACATGCAAATCTTCGTGTTCTTGTGTGTGGTGCTCCACAGGCAGAGGAAGCTGCTGGCTTCTCGCAGAGGAGGATTAGGATTAGTATAGCACATATTATGATATCTCCCTTGATTTCTGGTCTGCATTAGTATGACAGGGTACTCATATTTGTTTTGTGGTGTAGGAGCTTGAAGACAACAAGGGGCCATAGGATTCATGGCAAACCATTCGTCTATGATTTTCTCCCCGAATCTGAAATTATTTTGCCCCTAAATTCAAATCCTTTTGAGAGAGTCAGAGTATTTATGACTATGCTCTATCAATGTGACATATTTGAATACAACATGGACTGGAAAGTAACTGCATTTCTCACTGTTCCACTTATATTCAGGGCAACATCAAACTTCAGTCAGAAGAACATAACCAGGCAGGGAGCTTCCTACAGCACTGGATGTGAGAAAGTTTGGCATTAACAAGTGCAGCCACCACTCTGCCCCTCCCCTCCGCACTATCCTCGGCTACCTTGTTGCTCACTTCGCCTGTGGCCACTTCATCCCCGACTACGCCAGTTTCAGTTTCATGTCTCGTACAGTTGGAACTTACAAAATTTATTATGTTCAGTGCTCTCCAGTAAGTAGCTAGTTTCAGTTTCATGTAATTATTTAATTATTTTTTTATATTATAACTGCTTGTTGGGCTGGCCCTTCTGTTTTTGTTGAATTAGATGTTGTGGCCGCACCGATGAGAAACCGCTAGATGTCCCTCTACGTGCTAACACCAAGTACAATTCCAAATTCTTTTGGATGGACCGAGTAGAATTATCTGTCTGCTATTTTGTTTGTATGACCATGGTTTAATAGTTATAGTAATTAAAATACGTGTGACTGAAATATTAAAAAAATACTATTTTGAAGGAAACGATATTTAGGGCTCTCTTGTGGGCTAGCTGACCATCAATATATTCTTCCACTCTATATGTTACCGTGCCGTTGGTGTGAGATACAGAGAAGGGAGGGAGGGATGGAGAGTTAAAAGAGTACGACGACGGTGCATCTTACTTGAACTGGGTGAAGGAGGGGCCACGTAATGTTCGCTCTGCACGTTGGCTATGGAGAGAAAGGGAGAGAGAAGCATTGTGATCATGCCTATGATGACCATGTCCTTAGTCCTTCCATACCCCACCTTCATGTGGCTACTCCCCTCTGTCGTACCATTTCTCCCCCGGCTTTGCATGCCCCAATACTGGTCCTCCTTGAGGTTGTGATGTTGGTGTCAAAGAAAAGCGTGGTTGCGTTGGTGCAGTCGATTTGCTCCTACTGTTGACGACAGTGTGAACAAAATAGCACCAATCAATGTAAACTCTTCATTTTCTAAACGGCCATCTTATCTTTGAAGTGGGCAAGTAAAATATGAATTCACATTAATACAATAAAGAATTTAACGGACTGAGAGATATAGCTCAGTATTTCACCACAACAGATAAACTCCGCGATATCATGTGAACTTTGAAATTTACTTTATACCCGTTGCAACGCATGGGCTCTTTTGCTAGTAAGCTCTAATACGAGCAACTCCAACGCAGGTACCGTTTCGTCCGCCGCCATCCGTTTGAGTTGGTGCGAACAAAAATGAAGGCCTAACGCGCCGTAAAATGCGTCAGCTTCGCATCTGCGTGCACCCATTTTCGACCTAAATTTGCGGCAGAAATACGTCGGCCACGTGCAACTCACAAAGAGGAGGAGGAGGCGGTGGCTTACAAGGCGCGCATGGCGGAGGCCATTGTGCTGTCCGCGGCTTGCGACTGTGTCGTGCCGTTGCTGGCCCCGCCGTCCCCAACCAAGGCCGAGCCGGAACCGACCCCCATCGAGCACTACTCCTGGATCAGGGTGGTGCGCGAATGGGTCAGCGCGCCACCAATCTGGTGGGGGCGACGGAGGCGCAGGAGTGCGCCTACCTCTAGCAATGGCGTCATCAAAGGCTGCCCAAGAAGCGTCGTGAGGGCAAGTACCTCGAGCAGCTGGAGCGCGACGCCGGGGAGGGGGCACGCGTGCCCCACCCCCGGTGGACGACATCGCCAGAGTCTGGAATACGGTGTTCCCCTAGGCTGGCCCGACGCCGACGCTGATCGACTTCATTGGCTCCGATGTCGACGACGAGGACGCCTAGGGCAGCGCGTCTCTTTGTAGTTTAGGTTTAATTAGTGTTTTAGTTAATGTAAATGTGGATGCGTGGACTCTCGCCAGCCTTTGTGACCGGCATTAATGTTTTTCTATTTTTAAAATATTTGTGTTTTATTTTTTCCACGTGAATTAAAAAACGAGTCAAGCCAGCGGCGCGTACGCTGACCCAAACACGGAAGCGGACATGGGTGTCTGCCGGGCCGACCCAAATGAATAAAAACGGACAAAATCACTATCCGTTTGGTCGGCGCATTGGAGTTGCTCTTAATAAATATGCAATTTATATTATTGAGAGGCCAAAGCCAACATTATGGGCTGGAGGGAGTACAAAAGAATGTCAAAAGAGTAGAATGCAAAAGGTAAAAAGACATCACTAATATAACTGAGCATCTTCAATAGATGGTCCAAATGTAAAAATAACTAATTTTTGGACCGACTGGGGCAAAAAACGCTACTCCAACAGACGGCCCATATGCAAAAAAAATTGGACCGCGGCCTTTTTGTGATGTAAAATGCAACACCTCGCGGTGCAAATATACATCACGAGATGCATCTGGTCCAAAACCAGCCGCCGCCCGCGAATGCCGAACCGCCATTTCATTTCCGTTCCCGCCCAACCGCCCGCGACCTTCCGCCCGTCCGCCGCCGCCCCGCCGCCTCCACACCACGCCACCGCCCAGCCGCACGCCGCCTGCATCAGATCCGGCGCTGCCCCGCCCCCCGCCGCTGTTTTCACGCCGCTCCTCCGCCCGCCCGCCGCGGATCCGGCCCAGCCGCTGTTTCCACG